CAGTTACAATGTGATAATGAGTACATGTGCAGGAAGAAAAGAGACCTTATTTCAGAACAAATAAACGGCATCATTTACTTTCCATGTGGTCTTCTACATGGGGCCATTCTCTAGATTTCTGAGTTTATTTGAAGTATGTGGCCAGAGACCGCTAATAATGAGCAACTATCATGAGTGTTTCATCATTAACATACATCAAAGTGCCATTCTACTACTGGAAGTGATAGAAAGAATAAAAGTAACACAAAAGAGCAAAAGAAGAAAACGGATAGTTAGGTCATAATAATTTAGAGAGCAAAAAGCAGTAAAACTATCTATCATTAAAATATGTTGCAAAATAACAGCACAATCTATGGCAAAGAAATTTCGATTTATAAAAACACCAGATCAAAAAAAAAACAAAACCCTACCAGATTTGATCATGTAGTGAATATTACCAGAAATTAGATAAAAGTTTTAATTGTAGGACATATTTGTTTCAGATTACGTCTCAAGATTGCAAAATTTCCATATTTTTTTTATATTTATGGCATAGCTCTTGGTAATGTTTCACTTACAAATGATGCTAAGGAATTCTGTAACTAGTTCTTTGATTATGGGAAATGTAGTATTTTAATGAAAATAGATTTCAGTCTGTATGATTTAAAGTGAATACCACTATTATTTTTTAAAGTGATAATTATGTGCCAGATACCATTTTGGGCATTTTACATGTTTTATAGCATTTAAACTTCATAGTGATTCCTTAAGTTGGTGGTATCTCTATTTACAGAGAATGAACTAAAGGACTTGCCTACAATCACGTAGCTAATAAGTAACAGAGTCAGAATTTGAATTCACGCTATTCTGACTCCGTATTCTCCAGTAGTGTAGTATATTCTCTAGTAGTGTAGCTCATTTGTATTATAGTTGTGAAGTGAATTTAAAATCCAGTATTACAACCTATTTCTCTAGGTTTTTGAGGTATAGTGAGACCGTGGACTTAGAGGAAAACAGTCCTGTTTGAACCATTGTTTTCACATTTCCTGGCCATGTGATCTTGAGCAAGTTGCTTAACCTCTTTGAAGTTTGGTTTTCTCATCTATAAATAAGGATAAATGGCACCTACCCTATAAGGTTATTTAAAAATCAGTGAGAGAATATGAAAGATACAGCTTGCTGCTTGACGTAGTATATGCTTAATATATGCTTGAATTTGAACACAGTATTTTTAGACTAAACAAAAGAATAATACCCAAGTACTAATAGTGTTTTGCATTATCACATTAACAACTGTAAAATAAGAGGTTAAAGTCACCTACATAAGAAACAAAAGAAAACATTTGCTTTTTGGCAGAAACATTTTGTTTTGTGAACAAGAAACATTTTGTGCATTGTATTGTGAACTGGGTCTGAGAGGAACTTACCAAAGTCAGGAAGACTCGTTCTTCCAGAAAATAGAGTAGTGGGGGAAGCAGCTGTGTGAAGCGGCACACACGATGCCCTCTGTGTTAGAGGGAGCAGGCACCAGAGTGTAATGTTATCCCGTTCACAGCATGGCAGTGATCTTAACTGACAAGACAGGAAATGAAAGTGCCATGGCGTTCTCATTCTGTAGGGAGAAAGGGCAAGGGAACAAAAAACATGTGGGAATGTAGGAAATGGAAGGATTGCAGTAAGAGTTTGTGTAAACAAATGCTGTATGGCCCTGGAAATGCACATAATAGAAGAGGACTAATTGGTTTTGATGGAAGTCCAAATGTAGGCCTCTAGCATTTTCTAGTGAGGAGACCCGAGGCATGTGGTAAATTTAAAAAGATATCATTGGCACATTCGATCATTAGATGGCTGGTAACCACATAGAGTAGCTAGTCACAAAGACCTATAGGTATTAAAGCCAGTGTTATTATATTTCTTTCCCCCACTTAGGTTCTGAAACTCATTGCTTTTCCTTTGTAAAGTGCTGGATTTTTTTCCCTTTCAAATTTAGTTGTCATATTTACCAATCCTAAGAATCTCCTCAATAGAGCATTTCGTTTGAACATCTATCCCGTTAGATAAAAAGAAAATGGCCGTTTCCTTTTTTTCTCCCACTTGTAATAATTTCCTCTAAGAAGAGAGCACAGGTAACCCTTTGTGGTAACATGCGTGAGAAACATGGCCTGTTTTTCCCTTCATCCTTCTTTCACTGTCTCATGTAAGCACAGCATACTTCATATCTTGCCCTAGCCCTGTTCTCTTCTTCTGTAGCTGACAGCGCTTATATATCAAGCGCTCCAACAAGATGCAGCTCCATTTAACAAAAAAGTGCCTTAAAAATGTAACTCTTCTTTCTGCCTTTTTATTGCACAGTCCATCTGCTCCTTCATCTTGGCTGCTCTTCACTTTCACAGTGACAAGGCTCACTCCTTTTTCCTGTCTCTGGAGGCAAGATCTAATTGGCAAGTGGAAAGTCCTCAAAATTTGCCTTTGCCAGCCAGCACTCGTTTCAGATTTTTGTGTAAACAGTTGGCTAAAATAG